TGAAAAGAAGCACGTGGATTTTTAGAGGAATATTTCAGATCTTCTAATAGGGCCATACCATTTCATCAGCACTTTGAAGTTTTTTTTTTTTTGTTCAGAATAGCTTAAAATTGGACAAATTTTGATGCAAATTAAGCTGTAGGGCACACAGAAGATAAGAGTATTTAAATAAAAAAATAACTATTAAAACTCCACCTAAACAGGTCTCGTGTTTCTGGGTTTGTTTGTTTAAAAAAAAAAAAAAAAAAAAAAAAAGAAAGAAAGAAAAAAAAAACCTATTGCATGTGTACCCACCATCATGCCATTAAGAACACCCTTCTGCATTTTGATAGTAAAATGCCTATTTGTTTTATACCGTCTCTTTATTTTGTGTTTGTATCCTACGCAATTTTAGTTGGTTTGTCGTATGTGAGAAAACTCAAAAAAAAAAATCTGGTCTTTAGAAATAAGCAAATGTTAGAACAGCCAACATGCGCAGTAGCAGCACAGCATTAGGAATCACGGGTGGTTTGTCCTGCTTTTCCACACTCCTCATTGGAGCTGGGTTATTAGCATGAAACTATATAACACAGATCCAATTTGTTAAGCAGTGTTTCAATCTGTGTTACTAATTCTATATGTGGTTAATACAATTACATGCGTTTTAAAGCGGAATTTTTAGTTATTGTGCTATGATCACTTGCTGCCTTTCGACCTGGGTTTTACAAAGTGTCACTAGTTGGTTTTGCTTTCTTAGTTTCATGAACTCCCACAATGTTAGTGGGACTCCTGGACCCAGAGGAATGTTTATATTGGAGACAGACATTTATGGCAGAACTCTCTAGCTGGATTATACAGGCCTGTTTAATGCCTGCACCAGGCTGTGGTCAGCTCCGGGCTGTGAGGAGACACATGTTCAAAGTAGCTTTGCCATCATGGAGCTCCATTCCCTCCTACGGGTGGCAATCACACCATGCCATGCACAACGCGCCTTCTCGGGATACGCCGTAGCTTTGAGCTACGAAAGAGGACTCTCGTTCTGCCCATCTCCCAGTTAAAACAGCAACTTTCAGAGCAGTTGAAGGGCCCAAAAAAATCCACAGCTGGATTTTCTTTACATCTCCCTGGAGGGCATTCCCCTGCCCTCCAGGCCCTCCAACAAGGAAAGTTGTGTCTGCAAGGGTAACACTACATATAACACCTAACTCTACCTCACTACTGTGAGAAATCAGCTCACTGACACACTAGGGATGATTAATGAAACGTTAATGAAGCCCAAATCACAGCTGAAATTTTTCTGAATATTATGTTTCCAGAGACTCAAGTTCAGCCAGGACTAGTGACGAGGAAGAATGAGATTGTCCTAGTGTGACTAGTAGGTATTTTAACAGCTCTCTTCATAGGCCCTGGTCTTGGCCTCTCCTGCTGTAATTCAGTAAGGCCCTGGCTGCACAAATGACGTGGGCTTCAGAAGTTCCCACCCCGTATCTCATTTCCTCAAGAAAAGCTTATGTTTTAATGTCCATCATCTTTTTCACATCAGAATAAGCACCTAGCTAAGTTTTCACTCTCTACTCGGAATTACGATCTAAACATTTCACCGCAATTGAAGTAATGTTGTAAATATGCAAGTCAAATTACTAGTTTATTAAACTATTATTGGATTAGTTAAGAAACAGGTAGGAATGAGTAAGCATCTGTGCTTTTAGAAGCTGTCACGTACAAACCCCACTTGGTATTATTATATAGCACTTGGTAAAGTAACATATAGCAGATTATGGCACAGAATATGAAACATCTGGTAGAAATTACCACAATAATTGAAGTGTTACATCTGGGAAATTACACAATTTAGCTATGAGAAATAAACTTTTGCCCACTCATCTCTCCTGGGCAGTTTAAACTTGTCTTCTGTGATTATTCTGACTTAATCGAATGCTAGCTATGCATGTGCTTTGCTTTTCACCCAACAGTGAGCATCTTGGTATTGTCTCTTGTATTCCTACTTCAGACTGATACTTGTCTTAACTCTTGACTTGAACCCATTTCTTCCAAACATGATGATTCTGACAACACGATGAAAACACCTAAGCTTTGAGGATAATAATGTACCTTGGGGCATAAACAAATGAGGACTTGCCCCTAGGGACCTTTTTGAAGATTTCCATGTGAACAAAGACCAGCGATCAGCAGTAATATAAAACAGCTTTCTAGAGACATCAGTCCTTAAAGTCTGGGACCTTCAATTCATTCTAGTGTGTGTCTAAAGCCAATTCAGATTAAACTTTCACTGGTTTTAACAAAGGGTAATTTATGAAATTTATGAAATATTTATAAATTTATGAAATTTATGAAATATTTTTCTCCTGGAAAAAGAACTGTGCTAAATCAAAACTGCCCCAAAAATGTTACCATGGCAAATAAGTTTGCTTTTTATTACCTGAGGAAGTGGAAGGTAGCAAATAATTCATTCAAAACTCCAGTTCTGTGCCAGGAACTATATAGAATCAGCTTCTGGAAAGCCATTTGCCAACAATTATGCACCATGTTGTAGTAATGTAGCAAGAGAGCTTGGATAAGGTAGACAGCTTAAACACGACATTTCAAGTCCCTAAACATAAAGCAGGATTGGCACAAGCAACAGCACCAGAAATTCATTTCACCCACATGGTTGTTAATGAATCTAGGAAATCGTCTCCCCCCGACTTAACTTTTTTAAAATGCCAACCCATGACTGCTGAAATGGTGGGTTGAGGGCCTAGTCCAAACTACAATTAGATAAGAATAGCTGATAAGGACTGTATAAGTAGTTCAGCTCACCTCGAGCTGTCATTCTTACTCTGCCTTTCTGAGTCAGGGTATGCCCTGGTAAGGAAGTACCACGTAATGCCTCAAAGCAGGACAGGAAAAGCATATCCTCTTCATTCCTTAATGAGTTTCAAATACTCATTTTATCTTATTCATTTGCACTGACTCATGGTTAAGATGAAGAACGTTGTTTCTAGATTTTTTTTTAATTGATTTTGTGAATCAAAAGTCCCTGTCGCTTCAATGTCACAGCAGACAAGGTGTCACAGCCTGCTCAGTGTCTGCCAGGCAGTGAAGAGCTACTTCAACTGGGTGCCATTGGTTTTACCAACTACAGTCACCTTCAGACAAAGCAGGTGACTTCCTCATAAATAAGGTCTTTCCCGAGAATTGGGATTGGGACCAGGAAAAAGAGCCTAAACATCAGAATAAAGAGATCATAACTACTGATTCTTCGAAAACATGGGCCGAGGTTTAGCCAACTCACTACACAACTTGCTGCAGATATTGTGGCAGCTCACTCCCAGACTCCATCTTCTTAATTAATATTAAAGTAATTGATAGTCCTAGAAATGGCCTTGTGAACAGGAAACTATCTGCAGAGGACAGATAGCAAAGGAGTGGGCTTTCCAAAAAAGAAGGGCTGAGGATCTCGAATGTGCACAAACATTGGGACTCAGGAAAACAAACTCTGCTAATTAATAAAATGCCTTTAGGGAAAAAGAATGTGTTCATCTTCCAAACCAAAGTTCAGCCTCTTTTCAGCACAACATCTCTTGCTAATAATCCACAGTGACTTTGGAGTAGCTTATTATTATTAAGGATCACACACGCTGTTCATGGGATACATCTTACGATCAGGCTGACTTATTATGACATGCTCTTTTAAAATGGCCATAATAAACTGTAAGAAAAAGTTGCTAAATTAATTATGCTATGGTTGTACTATGGTAAATTCCAGAGCACATAATAATGTTCCCAGTTGTTTGTTCAAATCATTTTGTGATGTTGCATGCACATTTAGCTGATGTACCAACGCTAATGTACCGTGCCATTCTTGGAGCTGGAATTATAAAATGGCTCATGAAAATAAACAGCTTTATTGCCAGCCTCATGAATGATAATCTCACAGATGCAAATCATTAATCACAGAATGTATTAAGGTAATTACCAAACCAGGGATCTTTTTTTATGGAGTTGGTGAGATGTGGTTAGATTATGGAGCAGGTAGCAACTGCCTACTGCTGGAATCCCT